AGAAGAACAAAGAAGAGCTTCCCTTCCAGTTTGGGTTTCCTGAGCCTGGGTGGCAGGGCAGAGCCCGTGTTTGACCACTAACCTCTTCTTTCTGGCCTGCGTCACCCCAGGAGGAAATAACTGAGGATGACATAGAGGATGGCTTCAAGAACATGTTCCAGCAGCTGGCAGGGGAGGTGGGTATGGCTGCGCCAAGCTCTGGAGGGCCCTGGCCTGGGGAGGGTATGGGACGGGACCCCTGGCCGTGAGAGCTCCAGCCCACCCCACGCTCGCTCAGTCCCATCCTGCAGACAAGTCCATCTCTGCCACGGCTCAGCTCAGCTGCCCCCAGGGGTGGTGTGATGGGAGCAGATTTGGGGAAGGGGCATCCAGCTGTGGCCCAAACTGTTCTGGGCATGTAGGAAATGCAATGACACCCTGATGTTTTGTGACTAAGGCAGAGACGTTTAGGTAGGAGGGGGGGAATGGCCACAAGTGGGGTAGAGAGCAGGCAAGGGATGCTGCTAACTCTCCTCCTGCTGCAGGATATGGAAATCAGCGTCTTCGAGCTCCGGACTATTCTGAACAGAGTCATTGCTAGACGTAAGCGCTGCCCTTCCCACCCCTTGCTCCCCGCGGCCCAGGCCTGCTCAGCAGGTTGGGTTTTGGTGCGCGTGCTCAACCTCCTCCTTCCTCCTCAGACAAAGATCTGAAGACGGATGGGTTCAGCCTGGACTCCTGCCGCAACATGGTCAACCTGATGGATGTATCCTCTTGGCACTGCGGGCAGGGGCCAGCTTCCCTGGTGCTCAGCCTGCCGGCAGCAAGACTTCTGCGGGAGCTGGGGCTTGGCTCTCCGGCCATGCCGAGGCTGTTCAACCAGGGGACGGAAGGAAGGAAGGGGTCCTTGTGGCTTCAGGGCCACCTGCCCTACACCCCTGGGCTTTAGCAGCAGCTTTTTTTGAAAGGTCTGTCAGTTCCCCTGCTTGCTTTGGGCCCTGGCTCTGCTGCCAGAAGCCCAGCCCAGCCCTACTCTCGCCTTTAACCTTTCCCTCCAGGAGGAAGCGCCCTGTGCTTCCCTTCGCCACAGGCTCCCCAGCCTGACGTGCCATGATGCCACCCAGCCTTCGAGGCACTCCTGGAAGGGAAGAAGCGCTGTTGGGCTTCTTTCCCCCCAAACCATGGTGTCCAGCAGTTGAGGATGAGAGGTGTAAAGCGACAGGAGTCATGGCCTGTGTTCCTGCTTGCACAAGGACATGCAGCTGAGGGGTCAGACGAGGGTAGAGGAGCAGCTCCGAGCCCTTCTCCAGCCTGGGCCTGCAGCATCCCCTTTTGCTGCAGGCTAGCCCAGTTTTTCTCCAAGGACACCACAGCGGTGCGCTTCCTACAGCAGCAACACTGCTGCTCCCGGGGAGTGGCGCAGCAGCTAGTTTAAGCATTGCACTTTTCCCGCTGGGTTGCAGGCTCTGATCTTGCTGATGCTGCAGGACAGAGAGGGGAAGTTGGGGGGAAAACTGGGCAGGCCAAGGGTGGCCAGGCTTTTCTTGCCTCAGGTGTCTGGGATCTGATGGCTTTGCCTCTACGCCACCCCCTTCTCTGGCTGCTTTCTCCTTGACCCTCTGCTCCCCAGAAAGATGGCAGTGCCCGCCTTGGGCTGGTGGAGTTCCAGATCCTGTGGAACAAGATCCGGAGCTGGCTGGTGAGGAGGAGCAGGGGGCATGGCGCACTGCACAGGGGTAGTACCCCTTCTGGGGCAGCAGGGTGAGGGGACAGCCAGACTGGCGGCCGCAGGAGAGCCTGCCCTTCACATCCTCCATGACGTTTTTGCAGACGATCTTCCGCCAGCATGACCTGGATAAGTCGGGCACCATGAGCTCCTACGAGATGCGCATGGCTCTAGAGTCAGCCGGTAGGTCTGGAGAAGGATGGGGCTGGGCTGGGGGCTGGGGAGGGGGCTCCTGCTGTTGGAGCCCTGTCCCAGGTAGCTGAAGCAGAGTGAAACTAGCCTATATTGCATGCTTGGAGCCAACCTGTTGTGGTAGTGAGATGTGGCCCGTGTCTGCGCTGGGCTCTCTCCATCCCAGCTGTGCCAAGTGCTGGAGCCTCGGGGTTAGGGATGCACACAAGGTGGTCCCAGCCTCTGTCCTCCTCTGACCTGCAGGGTCCCATCCTGGCGCAGCAGAGGCCTGGAGTGGGTCAGTGAGCTAACTAGTCATATGGCTCCAGGGAGAGCATCCCCTCTTCCTGCTGAGACTGGACTCGGTGCCCTTCCTTGAGTGGGTTGGTGGCCCCTTTGGGTGGGGGCATGGACTTTCATAGTTACATCCTCCTCTCCTGCCCCCCTGGCGTGCTGACTGCTTTCTGCCTTGCAGGTTTCAAGCTGAACAACAAGCTGCATCAGGTGGTGGTGGCCCGCTATGCAGATGCTGACATGGGTGTGGACTTTGACAACTTTGTCTGCTGCCTCGTTAAGCTGGAGGCCATGTTCAGTGAGTGCCGGCCCCAGGGCAGGGAGGGCAGGGACAGAGGGATGAGTTGCTCACCTTGCTCTTGTGCCCCTGCAGGATTCTTCCACAGCATGGACCCTGAAGGCACCGGCACTGCTGTCATGAACCTCTCTGAGGTGAGAGCTCAGCCCAGTGGTGAGGTGGGCCCAGAGATGGGGTGGGAGACAAGGGGACAAGGCACTAAGGTGAATGGGGCACCTGGGGTTGGTGGTAGAAGCCCTCCAGCCCCTTGAGTAGGGAAAGAACCTGTAAAAGATCAAGATGAGAAAACGGGATTGCTTCAGGCTCCATGTTTCTTGGAGGGCTGTCAAAGTTGACACATGAGGGCATGTCAAAAATGCACCAGCCCCTGCTCATCCCTTCTCCCTCTCCTTCCCAGTGGCTGCTGCTGACGATGTGCGGCTAGGAGCCACGACAGATCTGCTGTGTCTGGGACACCCCAGCGGGCCAGGCCCACTCCAAGTGCCTCCCCTTGGATCTGTGGACACAGGATACTCTTCCCCCCTTGCTCCATCCCATGCTGAGCCACCAGCCCTGCCTCCCGGCAAGCCTCACGCCACCCTCTCCGGTGGACCAGGGGTCAAGGCAGGCAGGGGATGCCCTTCTCCTCTTCTGGGCTGGGCTTCTTTCCACTCCCCCCCTCCTCTCTCCCCACCCCAGAACAGGAGCAGAGCAAGAAGCATGGGGTACCTGTGCATCCCTGCACCGAGCTTGGCGGGAGTGAAGGAGCAGGCTGGGGACTGACTGCGGAGCAGGGAGAGGCAGGAGCTGCAGGGGGAAGAGAGGGAGGGACTCGTATTGCTTGCTCTAGTGCTGCCCCATCCCTGCTGGTACGCGTTGCCTGTCTCTGCACCCACGCCTGGGAGCATCAGCAGGTACTGCCTTGCTCAGGCAGAGGCAGCGGGTTCCCCGGGAGCTGGAGTGGACTTCTGGGAGGAGGAAGGGCCATACTCTTCTTCTTGAAGCCCTTGCACTGCACTTACCACCACTAAGCACGACCAAAGCATGGAGCCCACTGGCTCTTTCTGCGTGGCCTTCAACACATCCCTCCCACTTCCACGCCCCTGCCTTTGCCCCACCACTGGATCAAGCCCTCCAACTTAAGCACTGAATGTTTGGGGGCTTCCCTGCCACGTGAACACGTGCCACCCTGTAGTGCAGCAGAAGCTCCTCTCTTCTGCATGGGCACAGCAATGCCACCACTGTTACAGCGGCTTGACCTCCCCTCCCATCCCTGGGAGCTCCTGGGGCATCCGCTGCCCCTGCTTATGGCCCACAGCAGGGCTGGGGGGGGCCAGCACCCAAGAGGCAATGCCTTCCCCCAGAGAGGAGGGGGGGGTGGTTTGGGGGGGGTGTTCTCCTGCACAAAGTTGTTTTTTTTTCCCCCCCTGTCCCTCACCCTCCCACACTGTTACACTTTCCTCTTTCCTTGGGCTCCTTCGCCCAATGCATATGGGCTCCAGTGCCAACATATTTGCACTTCTCTGTGCTCCTCCACTCCCCTCACCTTCTTCTGGGGTAATGGGGTGGCTCCAGCTTGGCGGTCTCATCCTTTGCCCTGTAGAGGCAGGCAGGCAGGCAGTTAGCTTCCCACAGACCCCTGTCGTCGCTGGAGGACGCGCCTGCAGCAATAACCACTGCTGCCCGCCCGGCAGCTCCGCTTCCTCACCCCGCTCACTGTGTACTCTGGGAATAAACCAAGATCTGTTGGACGTGTGGCCTGGGCAGTGACTTGGGGGTCGCGTCCTCCCTCCGCTTGCTGTGGCCTGGGCTGGGGGGGATGAGACGCAGAGCCAAGCTCAAGGCACCCTGCTTGCCCAGCCTGGGCCATGGGTGGAGGAGCATCACCAGGTGCAGGTCTTGCCATGAGGATGCGGGGAGTCCATATCCCCTAGGATTTTATAAAACTCGTCTCTTTCTTTGCAGGGGGGTCTTAGCGCCAAAACACAGGGGCAGCATCATGTGAGAGAGCTGTAAGGGAGCACTGCTCTTCAAAGTGAGACCAAGCAGCATGCTGTTAGCAGGGCTGTTCGGTTATCCCAGGGATTTTTCAAGTGGAGGAAAAGCCGGTGCTTGCTCCCTGGTGTTGGTGGGAGGAAGAGTGTGTTAGTGCCGGGCTGGGATGGGGGGCCGGGCAACTTCACCCGAGCCGTGCCCCAGGGATGTGGGTGCAGCTGTGCTCCCGCTCAGCTAGGGGAGACCTGGGTCTGGCCACAGTGTCCCAAAGGCGTCCCCAGGGCACCACTGGGTGCCTCTGCCATGCAAGCAGCTGGAGCAGTTTAAACTCACCATCCCCCTGCCTTACCAGTGGCCCGGCAGCGGCTGAAGACAGCCAACGAGGCTGGGTTTGGCCCAGCAGACTTTGCACTGGGGTTGATTAACGTTGCTCACAGTTTGCTGCCCTGGCCAGCCCCTTGCCAAAGTCTCCTCTGCTGGTGGCAGAGCTGGGGTCTGCTCTTAAAGAAAGGTGTCTTGGGGAGGTTAGGGGGGGGAAGGAGGGTCCGCTTGGATAGGATGGAGTTAACCGTGGAGCGGGTGGGAGTGGAGGGCAGCCTGGAGCTCTGGACCCTGGAAAGGGACCACATGAGGTATGTGACCCTGGGTAGGGGCCGTGGGAGGCTGGTGTTTTCCCTGCTTCCTTTGAAGCCGTGCAGGTTACAGCTGGAGGCAAAATCCTTCCAGGAAGACGACAGTGGAGGGCCGGATGGTGGGGCTTTTCGCTGCGTGGCTCAGAGCAGGACTCGCTGTCAGCATGTGCCTCCTGCCCCTTGCTGACACCCCAGAGGGGCACCACAGCCCAGCCAGCTCCAGGGGTGCTCAGCGTTTGGAAAAGGAGTGTCTGCACGCACCTTATGCCCCTGGCATCTCAGTATCCCTCATGTGGGTGCCCTTTGTGCCAGCCCAGCTCTCTGGGACTGCTCTCCCCACGGTGGGGCAGCACCCAGCTCTGGGGCAACCCAACCTGGCTCAGAGCACAGAGGGGAGCTGAGGTGCGAGGGCGGCTCCAGCAGGAGGGAGCATCCCCCCAGCTGCCTCCCCAGGCTGCCCTCTCCTCTGGAGGCTCCCCAGGGCTGGATGAACGTGGGCTGCTTGCACTTGGCTGGTGGCTACCTGTGAGCTGAGCTGCCCCCTGTGGGGTGGGGGTACCTCAGGGCTTGGCAGTCTGGGCTCCCCCGTGCAACCCCAAAGCCCCTGAGAAACAAGGGCTCGAGGCGGGGGGGGCAGGACGCAGGGGCAAGCATGCAGAGCTGTCATTGCTGTCCCAGCTGCGGGGCCTTGTCACGCGCACACAGGCCCAATTGTAAGGCACGGTGAAGCCCTGGCTTTGGGATGACAGGTGCCCCCAGCGTAGCCTTACCAGAAGCCCCCTCCCTCCCCCCCTCCAGGCACCAGCTGGCAGATCCCTGCCCTTGTTGGCCCCGGCAGCTGGCAGGCCAGTATCGGCAGGGAGTCGGCAGGCGGGGGGTCCCCAGCTGCCAGCTAATGCCAAGAAGAGTAGCTTGGCTTGTCCTCCCGGGGGGTCCCCAGCTGCCAGCTAATGCCATGAAGAGTAGCTTGGCTTGTCCTCTTCCTTGCAAAGGGGGACAAGGAAGCCCAGCGTCCTTAAATGCTGGTGTATGGTGTAATGTGAGGAGCAAGAGCGGCTGGGGGCCAGATGTGGCCAAAACTGCTCTTAGCGTAGGGTTTGTCTTGCCATGGGCGCTAGCCAGTGAGAGCCAGCCCGCTCCCGCCTTTCCCACACCCACCCCACAGGTCTGCGTTGGGTGGGAGTGCACAAGGTGGGCAGGCAGCACCTGTGGATGCACGGCACCGCTGCTGCTGCTCCCCAGTACCACAGCATCCCCTCCTGCCCCCCATGCCCTGTGCCCCTGCCTCCCACAGCCTGGAGCCGCCTGCTCGCCCCGGGGGTCCCCCCTCTCCCACCAGCTGCTCATGTCCATCCTCCAGGCACAGGAGGGGGGCAGGACCACAGCCCGTCCCCACCTGGCCCCACCAGCTGCCCCAGCAGCCGGGCTCTGGCCCCATCTCCCCCTCGGCTGCTCTTCACTCTGCCCCGGGCCCGCCGCCACAGGAATGTCAGTCCCGTGGGCACAAGGGGCCTTTGTGTGAGTGGAGCCGGCGGGTGGGGGGCCGTGGCCCAGCCCAGCAGCCCGAGCCGGGGCTGGGGAGAGCCACAGCTGAGGGCACGTGCGTGGGCAGCAGCTGCCCCCAGCACGGCCTCTCAGCTCCCAGCCGGGCTCAGCGGTGTCCCCACTGCTGCAAGGGCTGTCAGGGAGGAAAGCCCCCTCCCCATCCTCCTTGCCCGGGCCCCAGCGGCTGGGGGGCGGGAGCATCCTGCAGCCACTGCCGGCCCAGGGAGCAGTGCCAACACCAGCACAGAGCTGGCACCTCCTTGGCGAGCCTCGGCGCCCGTGCCAAGGGATGCCATGGGCTCAGCCACCCTGCGAGGGGAGCGGGAGGGCTGGGGGCGCAGGGTGGGGACTGGGGGGGGGGGGCGGGGGGGCGGGGGGCGCAGGGTGGGGACTGAGAGCACCGGGCAGCAGCTGCTGAATTCGGCCTTTTTCAACAGCTGCCGTCTCAGTGCCAGCAAATGGGGAATGTGCATGGGCCGGGGCTTTCCAGGGCCTGGCCGCGGTGTGTTAAACAAACTATTTATAGCACTTGTGTCCCTCCCCGGCAGGAATGGCCTGTATTCCTCCCACGTGGGGCCGGGCGCTCGGGTGCCACTGGTGTCCCCACCACCAACACCCTCTCGGGTCCCCGCCAGAAGGTTGAGGTCTCCTCAAAGAAAGGACTCTTGGCTGACTCTTATCTTCCTCCCCTCCATTTCTGTTAGCTCCCAGTGCTATGCCCAGAGCAAGATTTGCAGCAAACCTTGCACACCTTGTGAAGAGATGCCTGAGGGCCGTGCCCTTCTTCCCAGCACCCCTGCTCCCTGATAAATCCTCTGGAGCCTTAACCATGCAACAGCATTGGCAGGTGCCGACAGTTGCTCTGTCCCCTGCACCTGCCCCTGAGGTGGCACAAGGGTCTCGCCTTCCCGCAAAGCAGAGATGCGGTCCTGAGAGCAGGCTGGGTGCTGGCAGGTCGCTCATGGGGCAAAGGACAGGGATCTGGCCCCCTCTCAAAGCCCATGCCAGCTTTGCCTGTCAGCTGACGGGACACAGAGCTGCTCAGCTGGCCTTCCCTCCGCTGACGGGCAGCAGCGACCAAGAGGGGTCGTGCCAGGAGGTAGCACAGCTGTGTCCTGCCCAAAGGCTGGTGCGTCCCACACCCCTGACCCTCCAACCATGCCTCCTCCGAGGTGGCCGCCCAGCGGGTCGTCCTCTCCCAGAGGAGATGGAGACGGAGGCGCCGGCTGGCTCCAGCCCTGGGATCTGCCCAGAAGACACGTGGGCTGTGAGCTCACCCCTGCTCAGCAGCAAGAAGGAAGGGGCTGGGCTTTGGGCAAGCCGAATCCCCAGGGCTTTGGGATGGCACAGCGGAGAAGACAAGAGGACAGCTCTGCGCAGTCCTGCCACCACCCTGAGGACAGCCCCTGCAGCTAGGCTGCTTCCAGCCCTGCTCTCCTGTCACAAGCGGTGCTCTGTCCGCAGGCTTCCCGGGACCTCGTGCCTGCCTTGCGCCACCCAGGGGCATCTCCTGCTCCTTGTTTGCTGATGTCCAGCTGCTAACTGACCACCTGAGAGAAATAAGTGCTACGGAGGGGTACACGGTCTCTGTTTGGGCTCAGGAAGTGGATCCCAGCCCTCCCTGGCAATTAAATAGGGGATACTTGGTTGTGCAATTGGTAAGATAAAGAAAATGGATGCCTGAAAGGAAGCAGCCTTGATATGTACCCGACAAAAAAGGAGCCAGCCAACTGGTGAGGGATTTTGAGCCCCTTGGTGAAGAGGGATGAAGGATAGACAAGAAAAATGGTTGAGAGACAGAGCAGTGACTGCAGGAGCAGAAAGTCCTCCATGGATCAGAGAGGTTACAGCAAGGCTCTACATGCCTTGGCCCGGGAAATACACGGGCACAGGACTCCAGTGCCCTAAACCTTGTGTTTGGAAGTAGATACTGATGGGATTTCATTTTCTTTTGAGGTTGCATTCTCTTCCCAGCTCTGTGCCTGACTCACCAGAGCAGCAGGGTTAAGTCCCTCCACCTCCCTGGGCTGTACTTTTGCCCAACTGTGAAAGAAGGCTAAAGCCCCTGACCTTCCAGATGGGGAAAGGGGCTCGGCAACGTCTCTGCATTTTTGACAGAGACAAAAATCTGCCTCTTTACGAATCCCAAGGGCTTGGCAAACAAGCCCTGCCCCACTTTCCGCCCAGTGCTGGGATGTTGCAAGCATCTGGCTCTCACAGCAGGATAACCCCTCCTGCCCTTACCTGCGCTCGCTCCCTGGGAAGGAACAGGTTTCTGCAGAGGCCACACACTGACGCTTCTTTGTTCCCAAGGGATTTTCCATCCCCCCTTTGTGTATCTCTGCCACTTGATGCTCAGGCACAATGCCCCCAAGAATGTGCTGCAACACTTCTGCTGCAACACCTCTGCACCTGGCCAGCACCTCCCTTTCCCCGTGGGACCAGAGGACAGGCTTTCCCCCACAGGCATGGTAGGATAGGCAGTTCCCTGGCTCAGGCAGGGCTTTTCCTAGGAACAGGTAAGGCTCCCTAGGGAATAAGATCTCTGCTCTCCTCCATCACTGCGGTCACTACCTTTCTTCTGCACTTTTCATCCCAGTGGTCCCCAGCCCGCTTAGAGGTGGGACACTGCAAGGGCCCTCTGCACAGGGAGGGGATATTCCCACTGGGCCTGTACTGCTGGGGAAATCGAGGCACCGAGTGAGGCAGCAACTTATGCGGGGTCAGCCGCAGCACAGTGAACCCAGGAGTCTCAAGAGCAGGCCAAGTGCCATACCTGCTGCCTCCCTGATAAAAAGGGGAGAAGCTCCCTCCCAGGGAAGCGTAAACCCTGACACAGCTGCAGCAAAGCTTTGGCTCCTGTTTCCTTCGCCCAGGCTCTTCCCACTCCTCATAACACTGCCGGCACAGGGCCAGCAGCAGCATGCAGCGGAGCGGTGAGCCTGCACCAGAGCCCTCTAACCGCAGCAGACCCGGAGCCTGGGAGGCTCCGTGAGCCTCCGGGAGGCCAGTCCCAAGGGGCTGACGTCAGCCCCGGTCCTTGCAGCTCCCGGGCCTGGAGCTGAGCCGTCAGGGAGCTGTTTCTGGTTTCGGCACATGGTGTCTCTGTGCTGAGGCATGGCCAGCCGGCTTTCCTCATCTCAGCCATGGCTGGCTCCCCGAGAGGAATCCGTGGGGCTGGGAAAGGTCACCCTGGCTGAACTAACCACCCTTGGATGGGACTCACTGGGCAAGGGACAGCTTGCATCAGGCAGGCTAGGAGACAGAGCAGTAGCTTTCGGTCCCTCGTGTCTGTTCATTCTCCTAAATTCTGCTTGAGCAGGAGCCAGGAGTAGGGCCTTGGCAGGGTTTTTGAAGGGAACAACGAGGGGAGGAAATGAAGCCAGCCAGCCAGCAGGAACAAAACAAAGGTTAGGCGCAGGAGGGAAGCGGAAGGGCACAGATGTGAGACATGCACCTTCCTGCCTGCGCCCTCACCCTGGCTAGCTTGTGCTCCCCTGGTCTGCAGGGCCCTGGCTGCTTGCCCCAAGTGGGCTCAGCTTGGGAGCACAGCTGGAAAGCATGGGACACTGGTTACCAGCCTGCTCTGGAGCCCCGCGTGGAGCCAGATCACAGCTCTTCCCCAGGGGAGTGCCCATCTGCTCCTCAGAGCTTCGTGCCTTGGGGCATCCCTTGCCTGCCCTCCTTGGCGGTTCGCCTGGTCTGCATTCCTGGCCCTTGTGGGAGCAGGGTGGCAATTGCTGGCGCTGGCAGAGAATGACAGGCAAGCATATTTTGGACCCAGCTGCCTGCTCAGGGGCTTTGGCGAAGCCTTGTAGTGAAATGAGACCCCATCCTGCCAGTCCACATTTCTGTGGTGGGCAGATGTTGTTCCTCCCTCGCCCCCCTTCTTCCCCCAGCACTGCCACCCTGACAAATGGGGTCCTGGGTTCAGGAGCAGTATCACTTACAGGGAACATGTGTCTGGCCTGGGAGGAGGGGGCATTTAAATGGGCAGCTGGGTTTTTTGTTGTCCCTTGCTGTGGAGGCATTCCTGCCATTTGGGCTGGTGGCAGGTCCACGTGGGGGGAGCTGAGCAGTACAGGCTCCCCTGGGAGAAAGGGCAGAGCGGTGTCCCGGAGCAGGAAGGATCCCAAGGAGGGTAAGAGTGACCAGGGGAAGAGGTGGGGAGGAGAGCTCCCTCCAGTGCTTCTCCCCCGAGCCTCCCCCAAGCAGCCCCCCG